CTCACTTTTGTGAATTTTATTTCTCTTTTCAAAAGCACAATAAAGTTGTCCTTATGTAATTTTAGCTATTTAAACATGAAACAAGTCTATCAAATAAAGATAGAATACTCGCAGGAACTCACTGTCAACTCGTTTTATTCATACTTTAAAAGTTTATGGAAATCCTTCGTCATAAACTGCGTTTTGGCAAACGTGCGCTAAAAGTTTCGGGAAGACAAATTTCGAGCTCGCCGTAAATTCGCGTGTAATCCAGACATTGTAAGCTCAGGATTTACTATCACAGATGCAAGTTCATTTCTAGTCGGGACCATCCTGGAAAAAATAAAAATAAGCAGTGTATCTTTCGAACACTCGAAAATTTTAGAAATGACGACAAAGTTGAATTCACCCAGGTGGGCAGCTGAGGTCGGTCTTCGAAAATGCATTATTCCTCTATTAAACTGTGCTCGCCAATGCACTTGTAATGCATGGCATGGCATGGTAGACAGCCGATGTGGCGCAGTGGTTAGTATGCCTGCCTGCCACGCAAAGGTTCCAGGTTCAATTCCCGGTGGGATCACTCACAAAGTTGATATTTATCACTTTGTGAATTTGTTCCCAGTCTGATTAGGACATTGCAGGCTGAACCACCTGATTGTCCGCAAGTAAGATGGTTCCGTGCTTCGGATGGGCACGTTAAGCCGTCGGTCCCGGTTGCTGTCTATGATGGCGGTCGTTACACAACCATGTCAGAGGCCTGCTACTTGCAGCCAGTAGGCGGTTGAAAAACTCTGACACTAGGGTTCATCGGGTCGTTGAACGACTCGGTGTCCCACACGAAAAGAAGAAGAAGATGGCAATGAGCTGATAATGAGGTACGAGCATACCTTAAACAACGTGCTACAGAACAACAAATAAAACCGAAAAGAGGTCCAGGTACTCATGAAACTGAACAACTTTCCCGAAATATGAAAAAGAAAATTTCACCTCCCATAGTTACTCAAATCAGCTGATCGACATTTTTGTATGGGAGGTCCAATATTTTTTCATTTCTCAACCCATGTTCCACGAGGGAAAGTTCTTTAGTTTCATGTGTACCTTGACCTCCTTTCGGCTTTATTTGTTGTCTTGTAATACCCACTATACAGGGTATATACATGTTGCAAAGATCCCCAGTTGGGGTAGACCCATTATCAGCAATGGACTGCTGGCTTTTGTAAAATTGTAACTCGTCATTCAAATGGAAAAGTTTTCATCAAATTCGTCTCGTCGTGAGCTCTCTCCATCATGACATGAATAGGCGGCGAATATTCTGCACTCCCACAATATGGCCGTCAATTTCCCTCTGAAGACTCTCTATTATTCTCTTTGCTTTGTGTGCATTCCGCCTAATTTAGCCCATTCAACAGATTTTCTTTGTGCGAAATCCACCTGGCGTTTAAGACCTTGAAAACAGGAAAAGTTGGCGTAAACGTATACTTTGCATTTCGAACAACTTCCGGCAGTAAAACACAATAATAAAATTTTATGTGTATTTGCAGGAAAGAGGATCAGGATTTCTGTGGAATGTTCGAACCCTATAGATATGTGACGGGTAGACGGAAATAGAAACTGCGAAATAAGTGTTAGGTAGTTTAGTAATGTTTTCTATTTCAATACACAAAAGTTTTGTATTTATATGTTGTGCTACATACATCCTACACATATAAGGCATAAAACTTTACTAGTTGTTTGTTCAAAATCAGAACGTTGTAGAGTTGAACCTTTAAATAAGGTATTCCAGCTCTCGATGCAACATGAAACTGCTTCCCTTGCGGTTATCTAATCAGGCTGCAACGTGGAACCGTTGACCGCTGCGCTGCACCAATCACTAGTTCAGCTGCATCTGTTTTTATTCTGATCTACCCGATAGCTTAAGAGCCCACTGATTGCAATGCCTTGTATATAGAGATGAAACTTGAGTTATCACATTCAATAGATGGCATTGTTAGTTTTTGTTACGCTGTTTTAAATTCATACTTTTACCTTTTCTTCTTCGAATGGATCGCTAAGTCGTCCTACGACACAATGTACAATGGTGTCAGAGATTTTCAACCACCTACTGAATACTCAGATTCGTGCAGTCACGTGATTTTTTATGGTGCAGGTTGAAACTGCTTCCCTTGCGGTTATCTAATCAGGCTGCAACGTGGAACCGCCGACCGCAGCGCTGCACCAATCACCGGTTCAGCTGCATCTGTTTTTATTCTGATCTACCCGATAGCATAAGAGCCCACTGATTTCAATGCCTTGTATATAGAGCTGAAACTTGAATTATCGCATTCGATAGATGGCGCTGTTTGTTTCCGAAATGCGAATTCAAAATTCACACTTCTTTTTCTTCGAGTCAGTCACCAAGTCATCCAACGACACAATGAACCCTGGAGTCAGAGTTTTGCAACCACCTACAGCATAATGAGGTTCGTGCAGGCACGTATTTTTTATTCAAACTACGTCAAAGCCATGGTGCAGGTTGAAACTGCTTCCCTTGCGGTTATCTAATAAGGCTGCAACGTGGAACCATCGACCGCGGCGCTGCACCAATCACCAGTTAAACTACATTTGTCATTATTCTGATCTACCCGATAAAATAAGAGCCCACTGAGTTCAATGCCTTGTATATAGAGCTGAAACTTGAATTATCACATTCAATAGATGGCGCTGTTAGTTTTTTGAAATGCGAATTCAAAATTCACACTTCTTTTTCTTTTTCTTCGAGTCGGTCACGTCATCCAACGACACAATAAACCCTGGAGTCAGAGTTTTTCAACCACCTACTGCATACTGAGATTCATGCAGGCACGTGATTTTTTATGGTGCAGGTTGAAACTGCTTCCCTTGCGGTTATCTAATCAGGCTGCCGACCGCGGCGCTGCACCAATCACCGGTTCAGCTGCATCAGTCATTATTTTGAACTACAAGAGCCCACTGAATGCCTTGTATATATGTCGCAGTACGATGGCAGAATTAGGTTTTTGGCCAAAAACCTAGGTTTTTGGCCAAAAGCCGGCATATGGCAAAATCGTAGACTTCTTTCGGCCATCGTCCTAAGCTGATCCAGGTTTTTGGCCAAAAACCTAGGATTTTGGCCAAAAAACTAGGATTTTGGCCGAATCCTAGATTTGTTTAATATTATGGATTTTTTTGCATTTCGGAGGAACTTCTTCTTCTTCGAGTGGTACACAAAGTCGCCCAACGACCTGATGAACCCTGGTGTTAGAGTTTTTAAACCGCCTACTGCAAGGAGCAGGCCTCTGACAAGGTTGTGTAACGACCGCCGTCTAAGTGATCATAAAGAGCAATCAGGACCGACGGCTTAACGTGCCCGTGTAGTTCGGGCATACACCTCGAAAGGCAGGAGGTAGCATTGGACGTTCTAGAGGGTGGGAGGTAGCGTCAGACGCTATGGAGGGCGTGGGTAGCGTTGGACACTCTGGAGGATGCAAGATGACGGGCGTTGGATTTTCTGGGGGTCCGACGCTACCTCCTGGTCTCCAGGGCGTCCAATGTTACCACCAATCCTCTAGAGCGTTCAGTGGTACGTCCTGCTCTTATGGTGTCTGATGCTCCCCCCTGCCCTTCAGGGAATCCAAGGCAATCCTGCTGTCTGGTGTTACCCCCCGTCCTTCAGGGTATCCATTTACGGTGTCCAAGTCTACCCTCAAAAGATCAGAGGGAGGTGCATAAAGTACCTCTCCACTCCTCGTTCCCCTGAACCACACGGGCACGGTAAGCCGTCGGTCCCGATTGCTCTCTATGATCACTTAGACGGCGGTCGTTAGAGGCCTGCTACTTGCAGTAGGCGGTTGAAAACTCTGATACCAGGGTCCAACGGCTCGTTGGGCGACTTGGTGTATCACTCAAAGACGAAGAAGTTCACCCTAAATGCAAAAAAGCCATAATACTAAACAAATCTAGGATTTCGGCCAAAATCCTAGTTTTTTGGCCAAAATCCTAGGTTTTTGGCCAAAAACCTGGTTCAGCTTAGGACGATGGCCGAACGAAGTCTACGATTCTGCCATATGCCGGCTTTTGGCCAAAAACCTAGGTTTTTGGCCAAAAACCTGATTCTGCCATCGTACTGCGACATATATACCTGAAACTTGACTTATCGCATTCAATAGATGGCGCTGTTAGTTTTTGAAACGCGGTATCGAATTCCTACAAAAGTTCGTGCAGGCATGTGCTTTTTATCTAAACTATGTCAAAGCTATGATGCAGGTTGAAACTGCTTCCATTGCGGTTATCTAATCAGGCTGCAACGTGGAACCGCCGACCGCTGCGCTGCACCAATCACCGGTTCAGCTGCATCAGTCATTATTCGCATCTACGCGATGAGTTGGTAGTTTTGTCGTAGATACCTATTAGGTACGAGTTTAAACGGACGCTTTGTAACGCATGCGTTGGGAAAATACGAATTTCGACGTTATTTTCATACAAATATGCTTAATGTTAAGTAAATTGTTTGACAAATACTTCCGCCAACGCAGCGTTGTGCGATATTTTTGCACCGACGGATGCGTCTGTCAAACCATTTCACATAAATCGTATTTGTATGAAAATAAGGCGGAAAATCGTATCTTTCAAACGCAACGGATAGCGCTGCGCAAAAATAAACGCACCAATGGACGTTGCGCCTATTACAAATTTAGAGCGTTTCTAGGTCAGCTTTGCGACCTCAGGGAATTTCGAACAATCTTTACCTACCTAAAAGTATATTTACGCACCATAGATAAAACTAAAAGTGTAAAACAATAGCGTGTTCCATCTTTCACGTTCCTCCGTGTAGCCCCGAGGGAAGCGCGGGATCGCGCTCTCCGCTCCCGAGATGGAAACTGGATCAAAGTTTCACTCCGCTTGTATGCTCCTTTTGATAATAATAGATGATGGCAAAGGTACCTATTGAGTTCTCGTATAATTGCTAGTTATCACCCCGGGAACAGCGGAAACACACGAAATTTTCATAAACTGAAATATTCATCAGCGACCGCCGGGACTTGAACCCGGGACCGTGGGGTACCGTCCCACTGCTCTGCGAATTAAGCTACGGGCACCTGGCGGACCCTGTAAATTTCACAACCTCTTGATGCTCGTCTCGATGCGACGACTAAGCGACATCTAGTAGTAGTTTTTACAACTAATTACAATTTTTCAATTTTCTCATTTTTAGTTAATGAGAATAAAATACCACTTAGTGTAATAATACTACACACGAGTGCATTAAAAATACCAATATGAATTTCTGCTCGTAAGCTCCTAGCAACCTAGCTTGGTCGTCCAGTTCCTGAAACCGAAAATTCTCTAAAATGATATTACGCCGAATATTCCTTAACGAACGAACGTCCACATCCCTCACGCCAGCACCACCGGCCTAATCAAATTGTTGGCCACAGCGTCGGCAATCAGGACGCTAGAAAGATAACTTGAGAGCGACATTACTCAGAAATAGAGGAGCAGCATGAAATTTTGGTTATGGTTTTTCGTGACATTCAGCTAAAAAAAATGACCGAAAAGTAAATTATCACAGCAGAGACTCGCTTTTTCAGACTAAAAAGACACAGTTTACTTAGGTATAATACCTACCTGTTTACTGGTCTCATAATATCATTTGCAGCAGTTTGAGAGATTGATCACTGGATTTGCTCTAAAAACTTAACATATTACAACAACACACTGTCATAGTTTGCCAGAATATAGAGAAAAAATGTCTTCTAGAACACTGCTTAAAAGTTTCAGAATACCTACACTGTATAGTATAGGATAAACCAATGTAAAGCTTCAAAGTATGAGCAAGCCAGACCAACGAAACAACGTTTACAATGAAAACTCGTATCTCAAAGCGTTGGTGGAACGCGAACGTCTTTGCACTGAAAGAGAGCGCTTTGACGACTGCAATTAGAATAACCATCACGCCTTACAACGCTAACTTTGTTCGCAGCTTGCTTTATTGTGGGATTTTCTCACACCCACTGCCTTGGTATTCCGAAGTTACGAAAGAACGCATATAAAAAATTTGGTAATTCACTTTTACAAATGGCTCACTCACTCAGTATTAGCAGCGATTTTGACACTTACTGACTGGAAGTAACTGAAATCTCAGAGGGACACAAGGTAACTCAGAAGATGTTTGCCGCGAACGTAACATTTCTTAGATAAAAATTGGCTCAGAATCATTTGACGTTCTTGTATCAGATTTTGCTGTTTTGATATTCTTGTACTTTGACATTTTTGACAGTAGCAACCATGGCTATGTAACAAGTGACAATCGCGAAAATTCTAAATAGGGTCGAGTGAATCTTCTGTAAACTCTCAGTTTTGTGCGGATATCATGCATGACACACGTCACCGTGTCAAATTGCAGCACATGACAGTCGCATGCAGCAACCTTACATACATCCATCACATACATAGAGTGCGTTTCATCTTTCGGGTCCAGATTATAACATCGAAGGTCGTTACATGGAATGTCGCAATATCGACAACGCTGCATCGAAAGGTCGCCACATCAGTTCCTATGGCGTCATGTTGGTAGCATTGGAAATTTGTATGTAATATCATATGGCGCCATAAAACTAAATACAAATTTCCAATGCTACCAACATGACACCATAGGAACTAAAAGATGAAAAGCACTATACAGCATCGTTCACCGGTCCATTGCTTGGTCCAGTGAAACACTGGATACCATAGATTAGATAGAAGCCTGCCTAATGGTTTCACCCGTTGTTACGGTTTTTTTTGCCAGGATAACGCATTATCGATGGGTAAATAGCTTATTTTACAACACCTTAGGATAAATAGAGGTCATGTCACATCACAAGATACGCAGGTAGTATGTGAGCCTGTTAATATGTCTTCTGCAGTCTAATCTAGACTTATTGCAGCATAGAATTTCTAAGGCAGTCATTAGTCTGGGTGTCATGTAGCTTAGCCTAGTGGACAGGTCTATCTATAGGTAGCTTATTAAAGTATTACATTCCGTACATTACATTTTATTACACACTGCGTTGGCACGGCGCTTTGCGGCTTTGTATTTCACATCCATTTTTCTATAAGTACTTTATGCATGGTAAAAAAATATGTTGGAGTCTTCAGGTTCTCGAGAGGAGACCACGCCTTGGCAAGCGTATTGTTGATTGCTTCAAGTTAGTGGATACAGAGCGGGTGGTAGCGACGGGATGGCATCTTAAAGCGTTCCCGCCGTCCCGCGTCCTGCGTCCAGCGGTGGACAGGCTAAATTGATGTGTCATGATGTGCTGGGTAATAAACTGTAAAAAATACTAAGGAATTCTTACAACAACTAATGTTTATCGGCGTTGATTGGCAGTTTCACCCCAAAATTGGTTAATGCATGAATCGTTGTTTCAATGTGAAATTGACAAAGGCTACCAAAATTGGATCAATCGCGAATCCATTTCAAAACAATCACGAATTAGATAGTAATTGAGTGGAGATTGTATTATCGAATTATCTCATAGCTGAATACTCTGAATGCTATTTCAAGATAAATTAATTTAAAGTGCCGAATAAAAAATTCTAAACAAGTATGAGTTAATAAAACTATAACGTATCTCTGGGTAGATTACTTATTCAACGTAAAATATAATATAAAAATATATTTATTCAATAAAAGTAACAAGTATAAAAACAAAACAAAAATCCTTAGCATAATATAAAAACAAAACAAAAAACGAATTACTTATTATCTAATAAAAAACCACCCCGGATCGTTCCCGCCGAAAATGAGCCTAGTATGCTGGCGGCGTTACCGCGCTGAACGGCAAGAGATATACCCTGAGCCAGGAACGAACCTGAGCGAGGATCAGCACCCTTCTCCCTCAGACGACGGCCAATCTCGCGTAGGAAGTCCTTTGCTTCCGAGCACCATGGACCCAACGTTTCCACTGCCACTGGCACGAAAGTATACGCAGCCAAATCTTTGTACTTGTCGTACAAAGATTTGGCTGCGTATACTTTCGTGCCATAAAATATAATTCAAATTGAAAATGAAAATTCAACTTTCATGCTATAATTATACTCGTATCGTAGGTAGGTAGGTATTGTGGGATTGATATTTTAGGCGAACAGACTAGATAACTAGATACTGTAAGGGAAGACAGCGATGTAATAAAGACATAACATCTCTATATAACTGACTTGCACAATTTTTCCCGCGAACGCAGAATTCATAGAATACAACACAAAATGCTCTTATCAAAGCCACATTGTTCGAACAAACGATTTGTCTTCTGCTCGGCTTAGTGCCCGCTGATGGATTGCTATTGCCCGATGCATTGCGGCCCCAAAACGCGCTGTCAGCGTGTCCCCCGATGCAGATAAAGCGATGGAACTCCAACTATATTTTATTGTTTGGAATTTACTGCTAATGGTGTCTCTGCGTCAGCGAAGGCGAGTATTGCGTGTTGCATCTGCTGTGTAGGATAGACAGTTTGTGCATGTGGTGCACGTAAGTCCATGTGAATTTATTTGAATACACCTTGGGAATATACACACAAAAGCACCTCATAAGTGCCCGGTAGTATTGTCCTATAGGGAAATAGGACACCTATCTACGACGTTTTTACTACCGGGTGCAGGTAAAGGAGCGGTGTACCGAAAACTTTGCAGACGTGATCAGAATATGCAATTGAACAACATTCCCCGGTTAATAATTATGTTGATAAGTGTACGGTAGTCAACTGACTGTGATTTTCGTATGGGAGATAAAATAAAATCCGTTACCCAATATTGACTCCATAGAAAAAGTTGTTCAAATAGTTCATGCCTGAAAACTATTCTGTACACCGTCTCACATCCCGAGTACTGTCAAACAAAATAATTTAATATGAAAATATTTCCTTTTTTGTGATTTCAAGCAAGGAAGGAATCAGCCTAAATCTGCCGAAAAACAACGTTCTTTTGAAGATCACCTCCGCCCTTCGCCCACACTCAGGATTTAAATAATTCCTGACGAAAATGGGACAGATTTGTCAAAGCATTGTCTCGTCTGATTCATCGTGAAAATTCTCATCAAATACCTAATCCTTATTCTGTAAAAAGACTGCTTGTCGTGATAGCCATTAGAATAATAGATGTTATTGACTGTGAGATCTAAGTCCCTAAGTATTTTGCCTTTTAGTAGGTACCAATATAATCTGTTTTTGGCGGTCGTCACGCAACAGACCATCTTGCTGTGGATAAGTCCCATGCACAGCTAGTACATTTAAGCGGTCGTCACGCATTGAAATCAAGTCGGCAAGCGCCAAAATTCATTCTGTATTTCGTCGTTGCGTAGGAATTGCAAAGCCTTTTTGAGTTTTCGGTTGGGCTCGCTCCATTTACAAAACGTTACACAAAGACTCAATTTAAAAGCCTTTGGTAGGCCTATTTTCAATGCAAACTAATACGTTCTAATTACGACGTAGGTACAGTAAATTAGATATAACAATTCAGAGCCTACATTGCACAGAATACTCTCGTGGTTCGTTTATAGCCCCGACAAGCGGAAGCCTGTAAAACCGGAACAAACAATGAATAAGAAATGAATTACTTCGGGTCTTGATGCCGAAAATATTCCGCAAGTCGTTGTCATTCTGCTTTTGTAATTGTAATCCTAAAGCTCAAGCATATTATGCGCAGTCAAACATAGGATAAAAAATACTGAGTGGTTTCTTACAAAGTTTCTTTGAAAACAATTTTGTATGCTCTCTCGACTGCTCTCGACCATGAAATAGTAAACAAAACATTATTAAGTATGTGATAAGAAGTAAGTGTGTAATGAGAAGAATGAAAAGTCAACAGTATTTTCGTAGTTCATAAGTTTTGTTTTCACAAAACGCTCTATGCACTCTTCTTGTGGATTGTGAACTAAACAATACAGAATAAACATTTTCTTCTAACTTTTTCCTACTTGCGTAGGACACGTTTTTCTATTAGAGAAAGAAGTCGCAAAAAAGTTTTTCTAGGTCGTAAATTACGCAGTCACTTCATCAAAATTCAGGACCGAAAAAGTGTTTCCCGAGTTGATTTGTAGCCAGTCTACGTGTTGTAGAGG